GGAGAGGGTTCGGACAAAGACCATCGTGCTCGGCATCGAAAATACTTTCAGAAAAACCACCGACGAGATTTCCGATTTTTTTTTGGCCCAGGCTAAGATATAGCGCTTCAAAGTTTTAGATTTACATTGCGCCTTATGGGCGGCTGAATTTTCAGACCAGAATTACTTTTGAACTAATTAACATATCAAAATGCGGGTTTTGCTGATCGATAGCCCTTGGTTTCCTCTATCCGACGCACCTTATAACTCGAAATTTTCAAAAAACATAGTTACGACGCTATACGGCGGCCTGCTGAACTCCGTGTTTGTACCAAGCCCCCGGGAACTGCGTGTTTATACGGAGCCACCACGAATTCCGTGTGTATAGGTTTCAAGTGTCGAAATGTCTTTATAAATTTGCCATGAATATTTTCAATTAAAACAGTTTTTTTTTATGTTTAGAAACACGTTGTCAAAACAACGTTGTTAAACAAAGATTTGGGGGTGCAAGTGTGACCTTAACAAAAAAAAAAAAAAAATAATTATGAAATAATTTTATATTTTTGATCAAGTGTGCTGTAAATGACACACAAATGCCAAAATGAATTTATAATAACAGCAATAAATAAGGATTCATTTTGGATAAAGTGTGCCAGTAAGAAACGAGCCACTCCCGTTGGTATGATAAAGTGCACTTTTATTTTTATGCCATTTAAAAAAAAATTATCCCATTATTTAAAGTTTTTGCGCACATTTAATGTGTTATTACCAATAAATTTTTCAGCGAGTGGGTTAGTAGTTCTGGAAATGTAGATCTGCTGAAAAAACCATCAGCAGATTTACACAGACAAAACTTTTTATGCGCCAAGCATCTTGAGGATGATCAGTTTACCAATAAGAGGAGGAATCGGTTAAAACCTAAAGCTGTGCCAACCATAAACTTTGACAGACTCCCAATATCTGATCTGTTGATGATTGATTTTCCTGTTGTAGGAAATGCAGATTTAGCATCAGGTAAAAATGTTTGTTTTGTGTAATAATGCTGCATTTTTTTATGAGACTAATATTTTTTTATTTGTTTTTTAGTCATGTTTACAGAAGAAAATGAATCTGATGGTTCAGTTGAAAAATTAGATTTATACCAAAAATTATTTAATGAAATTATGTTTTCTTTTGAATGGGAAACTTGTAACAGATGCCATGCTAAGTTTTATAAAAAGAAGGACAGTAAACAGACATGTGTTTATACAAAGAAAACATGTGAGAAATTCTCTGAGTTACATCTGGATGATATACCAGAAGAATTGCAAGATTTGACCTTTATAGAGGAACAGCTAATAGCAAAAGTTCATCCAATTGTGTCTGTTATTAAGTTAAAGAGTCATCAACTGGGTTATCAGGGAAATGTCATAAATTTTCCGCAGGACGTTAAAGGATTTGCTCGACAATTACCCCATAGACTAGATGAATTGTCTTGTGTCCTGACTGTAAGAGCATCCAAGAATTTAAACCCAGTTGATTTCCAAGTGAGATCATCTAAAGTTAAAAATGCTTTGCAATGGCCTAAGAATAATAACACATTTTATTATGATGTTGTAATTTCTGAAGATAATATAGACATATTGCCAGAATACAGCAATGTGTTTGAGCTATTGAATGGGTTTGATTTGAATGAAGCTGAATCAGATGATTCAGTTGAATCTGCTACATCTCAAGAAAATGTAATGGCTAAGGAGTTTGAGGAAGATATTTATGAATCTGGTAGCCCAATTATGGCTAAAGCTACTGGTTCTGATCAAGTGGTATCTTTACTATCTTGGCCCACAATTAGTAGTGAGCCTATCAATGAATTTAAAGATGACACCTATATAGCCAAAGCTTTTCCTTGCTTATTTCCAAAAGGAAATAGAATCATGAGCAAAGGGACAAACCAGTTAGCAAGTTCGTTAAACTATTTTAAACATCTAATGCGTTACAAGGATGATAGATTTTCAAAGCACAATCGTTTTAGATATTTTGCTTTAAACAGTTTTATGCGATGGTCAGCATTAAGAAATGGTAATTTATTTGTAAGATCTCGACCAGAATTTGAAAACATGACATTGGACCAATTGAAGCAAGAACTGCAGAGAGATCCTTCCTTGATTAAAAAATTAATTTATAGAAATTCAAGCATATCTGGTAGCAAGTCATATTGGTTTGCCAGAGGTAAGGAGCTTCTAAGCATGGTGGAACAAATAGGTCTTCCAACCCATTGGCCCATTGGTTTTGATTAGTGCACTGAAAGGCGAAAGAAATCATAGGCGGGGCAGAATGTACGCCCATGCCAGTAACTCCAGGGTTAATTTTGCTCTTTCAGTTGCGATTAAATTTCAGCTCTATTAGTGTGAAAGACTAATGCGTAACGACATCTTTACGAACGTCCCTGAAACTTCAAAAGTATATAGTACTCAGATAGAATTCGTAGAAAACGGTAATGTGATTGCCGCGACTTTGAATTTAAATCCCACTGACAACATATCCACTGTTAAATCTGCTAAAGTGGCAGGCACGCTTTACACATTAGGATCTGTGGTTCTTACTAGAATTGGTGACTTGCTGCCTACTTTTGGCAAAATTTCTAGTATCATTCTCCATGATAACAATGTATATTTTGTCCTGTTGACTACATTAATCATATTTGTGCCTTTGAAACAGAAGCTACTTGTGAAGTGTTATGCATTGCCCAGAATAATTTGTTATATTTTGCACCTCTCTGGCAGAGGAAAATTGGTAGTATTTTGACTGTATCATTAAAACATAGTCTGTAATTTTGTTGTATTTGTATTTTTTGTATCTTATTTGTACCTTGTATCTTATTTGTTTAATTGTGCATGTTATTGTATCTGCACTTGTAATGGCTTAACACTAACAATAAAAACAATACTTTTTTCCTAATCTGTGGTTTTTTAATGGATTCATATAATTATTACTTTGACAACATATCTGACAAATTGGCTACTTGGGAAAAACTCAAGGAGCGGAGGAATAGGAGGCGGATATGGCCAACCTCGGTACCTATAACACGTAGAGTCTCACATTACCACATGCATAGCCATAATATATTATAAAAGAGTGCTACTTTAGACTCAGTGTTCAAACTCAAAAAAAAGGTCACAATGACAATTACGTGAAGACTGTGTGTTTTGATAATATCACGAAAGAGAGAACATGGTTACTTAAAGTACCACTCAGCCCTGAGAATGTTTTGCTCTCAAATATAAGAAGAACATGTTCTCAATCCTGAAGTTTGAAGAGAAATCAGTAGATCGCTGGCAAGACCAGCGAAAAGCCAAACTTGAGAGTTTTTCACTCTTCTACGGAGTGCAATGTTCATGAACCGAGATCAGAAGTCAAGAAAAATAGCGGCAGCTAAGAGCAGAATGCACTCCACATTGCCCAAGAACATTTTACACTCAACTCGAGCGCTGTCTGCTCTTGTCATATTTGAGTGCATTTTGTTCTTACACCGAGACCAATGTTCTCCGACCGAGAACTGGCTTTTCTGGGTGTACACTTGGGGAACCACCCGCCAAGACGTCTAGGCTGCAGGTAGAAGCGCAGATACCTCATTACCCCTGCACTTGTATTAAAACAATTAATTTCATCACATTCTTTTCCAGGACTCAACCTCAAGAGTGATGTTTAAGCCCAAATCTTGAGGCGCCCCGGTTCCCTGCGGTTCCCTGCTTAGCATTACTTAAATCTATGATCTCTGGTTTTCGCCAGGCCGATATGGTGGGTGTCACCTTAGACGGTGCAACCCCCACCTTGGGTGACACCTTGGACGGTGCGCCCCCCGCCTTGGACGGCGGGACCTGTGCCTTGTGCAGGGAGGATTTATT